TAGGAGGAAGAGAAAACAAGGGAGAATCAGGAAATAAAATAGAATGTGGAGATTTGCCATTTAATACAGATGACGGCATACGGTTAATAAGATGACAAGCTGTAAGAACAGCATCACCCCAAAACCGTTTAGGCATACGCATATGAAACAAAAGAGCACAAGTTACTTCTAAGAGATGTCGATTCTTACGTTCTGCAACTCCATTTTGTTGTGGAGTATAAACACATGAATTTTGATGAATAATTCCTTTATCACTAAGATATGTATCAAAGGGAGTTGAAGAATATTTCTTAGCATTATCAGAACGTAGAATACGAATTGGACATCCAAATTGAGTTTTGATTTCTTTGCGAAATTTTTGAAAAATTAAAAATAACTCAGAACGATCTTTCATTAGAAACAACCAAGTCAGGCGAGAATAGTCATCCACAAATGTCACAAAATAATGAAATTTATTGATTGAAGAATGTTTTATTGGACCCCATACATCTGAATGAACCAAATGAAAAGGACTAGAAACACGATTATTAACCCTAGACTTGAAAGACACGTGATGGTGCTTACTAAGTTGACAAACTTTACATGACAAGAATTTCAAATAACTAAGACTAGGAACTTGACGCTTCAAAACTTGAAGTGACGGGTGACCAAGGCGACAGTGCCACTGGAATGGAGACAGAGAAGACTGAAGAGCCACAGGAGAAGGTTAGAAATCAAAATAATATAAGCCACCGGCTTCATGTCCCGTACCAATCGTCTTCTTCGTCTTGAGATCCTGAAACACACAAGAAGTAGGATCAAATATAACAGAGCACTGGAGAGATTTAGTAAGCTTACTGATAGACATTAAGTTAAAAGGAAACTGCGGAACATGTAAAACAGACGAGAGAGACAATGAATCGCTAAGTTGAGTTGTCCCCAAACCTGAAACCTGAATGGATGAACCATTAGCAAGAATAACACTTTGAGAATTAGGTACAGAATGAAAATCAGATAGAAGAGAAGAACATCCGGTCATATGATCAGATGCTCCAGTGTCTATGATCCAAGGACTGCGAGTGGAAGACAATAGACATGTGTGTGCAGTACCTGACTGGGCAAAGGTAGCCGTGGAAGATGAATTAGATGCTTGCTTATAAGACAAAAACTGAGTATACTCATCCCGTGGAACATGAACTGTATCTGATTCAGCTACATTGTGTGATCCAGAAGCGACATCATTCGGAGAAGAGGAAACTTGATTTGCATAACTAGATGGTTTCCCATGAAGGTCCCAACAAAAGTTCACAGTATGATTAGAAAGACCACAATGAGCACACTTTCTTAATTCCCTGCCACGGCCACGTCCTCCACGTGAATCACGACCACCACGGGCGAAGCGTCCCCCACGACCTCCACGGTAAGTATTATGTTCACCCTTTGAAACTACCAATGCTGAACGCTCACCACTCTGTCCAGTATTCAAATTTGAGGTATCACTTGCTATTGTAGCATGCTGAAGTCGAGAAAACACCTTAGCAAGAGATGGAAGTGTTGGACTGCTCATAATCTGTGCATGAAAAGGCTCATATGCTGATGATAAACCAGTAAGAAAACGGACAACATTAAAGTCCGCACGCTATTGTTGCATACTGCGAACATCAGCAGTGATGGGCTGATACATATTCAGCTCTTCACAGACTCCCATAACTTTGGAATAATACTCTTCTATACTTTGAGTACCTTGTTCAAGATTGAAGTACTGTTTACATAGCTCATAAACACGGGTGATATTACCTGTCCCAGAATATAACTGCTGCAATCTATCCCATATCTCCTTGGCTATATCCAAATAAAGTAAAGTTGAACTAATTTGGGGTTCAATACTGTTTATTATCACAGAGATGATCTGAGCATCTTCCTTTTCCCATGCATCAAAGGAAGTATCAGTTGCCTTGAGTTTCTCTTTAGTCAAATGAGAACCAAGACCTCTGCCTTTGAGAAAAATGGCAACAGATTTGGCCCACAATATGTAATTCTTCCCATTGAGCTTAACTGAAGTCATGGGAGAATTAAGACTGTTCGTGGGTGAAAGCAAATCTGAACTTGAACTTGAGGCCATGTTGAATCCAGCAAAACAGAGAAGAAAAAGGAGAGAAAACAAAAATTCTGTATTTTGGCCGAACCTGGAAGCAGGTCTGTAATGGGCCGGATTCTGAAACCGGGTCGGATCCTGGTGCGGGTCGGATTCCTAGTACGGGTCGGATCTTGGAACCGGATCTGGACTATCCCTGGTTTAGTAAACCGGGATTGGAATAGCACAACCATGTTGCCAAACACGGGTCTTCTTCTTCACTCTGTCACAAACTCCGGTAAACAATACGGCGGAGGCGACGGCAAACCAACCACGAGCAGCGGCCGAAAACCAATCTCACCTCTGCAAATCGAGACGAAGAAACTTCTGCCGGCGACGACGACCACCAAAGAGGAGCTGCCGGTGACGATGAAGAAGGCAAAAACGACGAACACACTTCAGATCTGATTACGGTGAACAAGAAATTGCCGACAGTTACATCAAAACCACATTCACGATCGTGATTCACCACCAACCCACCTACTAACTCTCACACTCATGATCATTTTGCTCTGATACCATGTTCTTGATCAAGAGAGAAACAGAGAGAGAGCAAAATCGTATTCACTTTGTATATCAAACACTTACAAAACCTAATTAGCCTATGTAGGCTTATATATGTTACAAGGTTTACATAATAACACAAACAGCCTATTAACTAAACATAATTACATAACGACCCACTATTATATATATATGACTTCTAACATGCATCACCCTATGCTTCTCTCTTCTTCTTCTTCTCAATCAGCATGTCATAAATCTCTGCAGGTCTGAGAAACTTATGGATCTGTATTCTTCTTTTCTTGACCCAACACCCAAGATAGATTTGACAATCCTGAAGATCTGTCAGTTTTTCAATTTATTATAGACTGAAATCTTTCAGAAATTAACATGGATCATTGATTGTGTTAAGTTGAGATCAAATCCACGAACTATAAATTTGAATCAGTGAATTGCGAAATCCCAAGTCATGAATTTATGAAGCATCTGCTTTTAATTCATGAATTTGCCCTCGGGATGTGACATAGCACCCACTTTGAGCTAATTGTGACTCTAAGAAGGATAGGATATGTGGCCAAAATATCTTAGAAGTGTCATATTAATGCTTGAAATGAAAATTTTTAAATTATGGCTACATGTAAACAGATATTCATGAGTATCCGAGGAGTATCGGTATCTGATACTGATACGTCTTCTTAATGGGATTCATAAAGCATGGGCTCAGTTGCTAAGTCCGCAATTTATTTATATTTTTTGGTAAGTTGCTAAGACTGCAATTTATTATTTGTAGCTTTGACTAATTTCTTTTCGTAAGATTACTTGTAAATTTATATATTTATTTAATTCATCATTTTAATTTAGCCACTTTTTGTATTAAAAGATAAAAGACAATAAGGTACAGATTTAAAGTGGAGGCATACCCCCACTATACATCACAATGAGAATGAAATAAGTCCACTTCCAATAGGAAGCAAAAAGAAAAACAAGCAAAGCTAAATGCTACCAATTACAAGACATTCCAATCAGCTAAAGGAACTGCAGCAAGGCCAAGAACCTCACAATCAGTAGATCTGGCAACACTGATAGCAGAACAGTGGTATCATGATCTAAATGAATTTACAATTGAAGATCAATATTTTGAAGAAAGTAATATCTTGACAAAAGGATGTGATTTTTTCAAGCTATGATTACTTTACATGATTAGTGTCTTATGCTCTGTTTGGTAGGAAGGATGGAAAAATAGATGGAAGGGAGAACAGGAAGGATGGAATAGGCATCCTTAAGGAAGGGTTGGTATCCTTCCTCTTCTGTTCTGTTGAGTGGAGGGGAAGAAAATGGATAGTATTGTCATTTTTACCAATATATCCTTAATTATATTAGTTATTAGAATAAAGGTAATGTAGTCTCTTTTCAATTTTGTGAAAACATATATCAATTCCTCTCACTCATCTTCTTTCCATTTTTAGATGTAAACAAAATGGTTGGCCAGGGGGTGCCTTAGCCATCCTCTTATGCTTCCTTCTACAAAACAATAGAGGCCTGCCCCATCCCTACTTTCTTGCCTCCCTCTCCCTTCTTTCCCACCTACCAAGTGTAGGCGTAGGGACGGTAGTCTACTAGACACTCGTATTTGTATCTTTATCACCTTCTAGGCTTCAGAGCCAATTTTTCAACTAAGATGTGTAAGAAACTTCTCCGAATTTTCCAGGGGCATGCTGGAGGACGCTTCTTTGACAGTTGACACTAAATCCTAACTACCTATGCCTCATATTAGTTTCGTGATTGTCAGAGATTCAGATCAGATCAGATTAGATTCAACATTAAATTCTGTAAGACGCCAAATATATTATGCTGTTTCAACGTGGAACCTTAAATCAAATAATCAAATTACTAGCTCTATTAATGTGTCCATGATTCTTTAGGGCACATGAACCCTAACAGGAATAATCATTTATCATTAGATGATGCATATGTTTTAAAAAACGCCCATTACTAGTGTTTTCGATATTTGTAGTTGTGGTACTAAACATGTGCTTACAGTTGGGATTTTTTCTCTTCTATTATGTCTACTTATCTTGTTAATTGTTATCTACTTCCCCCAGCAACATCCCATTGCATTAGCTATTGGTATACAAGGCTTGCATCTAGTTGCGGCATCCAAGTAGGCTGTGTCCATACTCTATGAAAATATTATGAAGCTGTTTCAGTTTAAAATGTAATGTTTGAATGAGTGTATCAATACGAATTACCTTTAACTATACTAATTCGTGTTCTTATTTATATGCTTTTATACGTGTATGGATGTTTTACGTGCATTCATCGTGTAGTCTTAACACTTTTGTGTTCCTTGCTAGTGAGCACCTAAACTTTAATTTTCTTGCAGCCGTTCCTTCCAGTTCTATGAACCAGCTGCATCACCAACCATCACAGTTTATGTCGAGACCTTCCATTGTCACTGGTTCATCTTCAGTTTGCCCACCTACAACCACCCTGCAGAGTACAGCGCCATCTCCACGTATTCGCCATCCTTCAGCACCTCTCTCAAGCATTCCAACTGGTTCATCTTCAGTTTGCCCACCTACAACCACCCAGCAGAGTACAGTGCCATCTCCACGCATTCCCCATCCTTCGGCACCTCTCTCAAGCATTCCAACTGGTTCATCTTCAGTTTGCCCACCTACAACCACCCAGCAGAGTACAGCGCCATCTCCACGTTTTCACAATCCTTCGGCAACTCTCTCTAGCATTCCAAATGGTTCATCTTCAGTTTGCCCACCTACAACCACCCAGCAGAGTACAGCGCCATCTCCACATATTCTCCATCCATCGGCACCTCTCTCAAGCATTCCAAATGGTTCATCTTCAGTTTGCCCACCTACAACTACCCAGCAGAGTGCAGCACCACTTCCACATTTTCACCATCTATCGGCACCTCTCTCAAGTATTCCAACGAGACCCCTAATTATCAGCCCCATCACCCCTCCCACAGGAAATCGCCAAGTTGTCAGTGAAATTCGTGCCCCAGCTCCTCACCTTCAACCGTTCAGACATTTGACATCCGCATCTGCAACCAATATTCCATCCCTTCCTCGAGGAATACTAAGTAATCATGTACCAAATAATCTGTCCACGTCTTCTACTGCTGGTCCCCAACCACCTCCGCCACCGCTGCCACTACCGACATATCATTCTGCCCCTAATAATAGACCTCCCCACCCTGAAACTGCAGGAATGGAACCAGCTGTTGCCCCTAACAATAGACCTCCCCAACCTGAAATTGCGGGAATGGTGCCAGCTCTTTATAACTCATCAATGTCTGCACAGGGGTTGCTTGTGGACGTTGATAACCAAGCTGGTGCACATCCACCAAACATTCTGCCGTCATTGCCATCTTTGGGTACTAACTTTGATACTTTGGATCTGTCAGAATTTGAAACTCCAGGTAGAGTCGGGGTTAATACAGAAAATGTAGTTTGTTTATCGGATGATGACTGACCCGTTAAAAATTGTTAGCTCTAACATCATGCCACTTTTTGAGGGGCCTCAGAAACTGGGATTTTGGGGGAGAAGTTCTAAAATGGCTAACTGGTTGCTGATGTACAAATTTATCGTTGAAACGTTGAGCTTATCCTGAGAAATTTGTCGCTGTATATGATGGCAATTGCCTATTTGTTCTAATTGCTGATGTACAAATTTACCGTTTTAGTAGTTGTAATAATTAATTTCTTTGCCTCATTGTTAGATATCATTGTAGTTGATTGAGAGAAATTATTAGATGGTTCTCGACCATTAACACGTGGTGGACCAGTTAAATACAGACTCTCGGATTGAGAAAATAGTCTCACAATAATGTATTAATAAATTACAAAGTTTCATAATCGGAGGATTTTTATTGAATTAGTCCACTAATGTCAAATAGACGAAGACCATCTAATAATTTATTGTTGATTGGAGTAGATGTCATTTGAGTTTTGGGTTAAAATATCTGAAAAGAGAACATCTCTCTTAACAACCAGTTTACTCTTCTATGTGTTGTTTATAAATGTGGAAGTCATTTTTGTTCTAGTGTTTTAGGTGAAACAATCATACAGTAAATCCAAAAAATATGGAATTAGCTTTCTTTAATAGTTTTATTGCTAGAAATTCATTGGAATTCTCAGTTACCACACTTCAATACCAAAACAGAGGTTAATGAACAAGATTGCAATTCTTGCTATACATAAATCCATAAAAATACAAGGAATACAAGGTAGGAACTGAAAACTTATATATATATAATGGAAAAATTTTAAAATTTTAAAATAAAAAATGTAAAAAGTCCAAAACAAAGGGGCTTGGGATCACAAAACCAGTAATCCCGTTTAATCCAAAGACAATTTGTTAATAGGGATAGCAGAAAATGCAAGTACTTTTTGTCCAAGAAGTTCTAACAAATTGGAAGAGGAGTACCATCCCAATCCTTGAGACATTCTAGCAGTGGATCAATCATCTTTCCCTCACAAATTGCTGAAAAAACTGTGTCGAATTCTTCACCGGGCGACGTGATCTTCTCTCCTGTCAAAAACCCAGTCCCCACCAAGTCTGCCCTCACAAACTTGTATAGTGGGTATGACCTGCATTCCTTGATCCTGTTTGGAATTACTGGATTTCCACTCTCCAAAGCACTTCTGGTGTTCTCAACTTCTTTAGGCAATAAGGTCTTCAGTTCCTCCTCAAAACTTCCAATCTTTAGAAAGATTGAAGTGTTCTTATTCATCAAATCATCATTGTTGATCAATGCATGATCAACAAGAACCTGCCTGAGTTTCTGCATCAATGGGTAGTTCGCGCTACACGGATCATCAACGTAGGCGAAAACGTGCTCGCGATCAACCACTTTGAGCAAGTCCTTCTCACAGAATCTTGAAGGATGGGGCTCTCCATTGATGCCCATTGTGAGAACTTTCTTAGCCACTTGGCTCACTGTGTTTTTAACTGTGTTCTTCAAGTTCTCCTCCAAGTGCCTCAGGTCAATAGCCTGGCATAGCGCAACCAAGTAGGTCGACGACATGAGCTTCAAAATGTCAACTGCTTCGGCTGTTTTCCGAGAAGAGATCAACCCTAAAGAGTTGACATCCTGGTTGTGTTGCTCAGCACTTTGGACATGGTTGGTGACCGGGTTGGCAAGGAATTGCAGCTCGGAACAATACGCTGCCATCGCTATTTCAGCGCCCTTAAACCCATAATCCAAGCTCGGATTTCGTCCACCGGAGAGATTCGAAGGCAACCCATTGTTGTAGTAGTCATTAACTAGCTCAGAGAATTGAGCAAACATGAGTTTCCCAATGGATGCAATGGCTAGTCTAGTGTTGTCCATAGAGACTCCAATTGGGGTGCCCTGGAAATTCCCACCATGTAAGGCCTTGTTCCTTGACACATCAATCAGAGGGTTGTCATTCACAGAATTGATCTCCCTCTCTATCGACTTCGTCGATGACCGGATAACCTCAATCTGGGGACCCAACCATTGTGGCGACGTTCTGAGCGCGTACCGATCTTTTTTAGGCTTTTGAAGAGGGTCCATTTCATGCAACTTTTGAGCACCCTTAACATAAGAACTCCCATCTAAAAGGTGTTCCATTATAGCTGCAGCCTCAATTTGTCCAGGGTGGTGCTTCAACTTGTGTGTCAAATGGTCAGTGAATTCTGGCTTCCCTTGCATAACCTCAGCAAACATTGCTGACAAAACTTCTGACAAAACAGCTAGTATGTTAGCCTCGAAAAGGACCATTGAGGCTAAACCAGACCCTACTGCTGTGCCGTTGACAAGTGCAAGCCCCTCTTTAGGCTGCAGCTCAAAGAAGCCACCCGCAATGCCTGCAAGGCGGAATGCTTCACCGGCATCCAGGGACTCGCCTTTGGGCCCCACACACTTGGAGTTGGGGCGGCCGGTCAGGAGTCCGGCAATGTAGGACAGAGGGACTAGGTCACCGGAGGCCGTGATCGTGCCACGCAGAGGCAAGCATGGGGTGATGTTGGTGTTGAGGAGCTTTGTGATGGCCTCCAATATCTCAAATCTGATGCCTGAGTAGCCCTGGAGGAGTGTGTTGATCCTCACTAGCATTGCAGCTCTTGTTGCTGAATGAGGCAGGGTGTGGCATGACTCTGTTCCATTCCCAAATATTCCAGCATTCAAGAACCTGTTGGAACATAATTTATACATATCAATGCATCATATCATCATCTACCAATCTACAATTTAGGCTATGCTTGGTATGGTGGCCGGAAAAGAAAAAGAAAGAATAATATTAGTTAGGTGTGAAAAGAAAAGAAAAGAAATGGAAGTATATTGTTAATTGTTTATAGTGTTTGGTTGATTAATAAAGAGAAAGAAAGAAAATGATAATAATCATGTTTGGGGAAAGAAATAAAAGGAAACAATTTTACTGTATTTATAACCATACCCTTATTTATAAAATTTGTCTTTTATTAAAATAAGGATAAATTTGGTATTAACAAATTTTTATTAAAAATATTAGTCTTTCCTTCTATATCATTTCATTTTTTGGAGGGTAACAAAATTACTATTCATGCCTTATTCTATCTCTCCAAATCCTTAATTTTCTTTTATTTATTTATTTATTTATTTTTAATAGAACATAGGGCGAGTGACCAATTTTGAAAGGTTATCACTGTTTTTTCCATTTGCGATTTTTGTAATCCAATAAGGAAACAAATTTTATAGGCTCCCACTAGATTTTTTTTTCTCATAATAAAAAATAAACAAAAAAAATAGAATAGACCCATAATTCTGATGCACTAAATTATTAGGTGGGACCAGTTTCAATCCAACGTGTCACCTTTTATACCACCAAAAGTAATCACAAAATTGTACAATGTGGCCCAGATTTGAAATACTAGTTATTGAGATTCACAAAAATTACTAATGACCACTCAATTATTTGCTGAAAAAAACTTTAACGGACCCGATAACCAAAAACAATAAAACTACTGCTCCACCCAATCAATCTTACAAAACATGTCACACCAAGGACACCTCCTCCAAATGGTCCTGAAATTATTAGACGGGTAATGTTTGTTCACTCAAACTAGTAAAAAATTCATTAATAATTATAAAGAAATTTTATTATTAATTTTAATTGCATTTTATCACTTTCTAGAATTTGAATTTTTTTATGTAGACCAAATAAATTGAAGGAATTGTGAACCCCAGCTCTTATGAGGTGATCTCCATTTGTTTTCGAATTTGTTGGGATCATTGCTCTACCCCCATTAACAAATTTCTTCCTAAGACCTTATGCAGTCCACTCTGTTTTATAATAAAACAGATTACAATCAATTAATTTTCTGATTTACAGTAGATTGATAATATAATCTGTAACATGTTAGAAAACCCAATTGAGATATATTTAGGGTTTCCACATTCATGTTAAGTAATTCCAAAGCTTAATATGGCTTAGAAAAAGGAGGAGATATTCCTTGTAAGGTGCCAAAAGGGTAATATTGTCACAAACATTAATCATGATTCATGGATGGATATATATTATATTTCGCCCACTTATGTCAATTACTTCAACATTGATATAATTCACCTATACATCTATTATATATATATGAGGGATCAAACCTTATAAGCTCCTTTTGTAGAGCAGCTCCTTGTTTAGTCCTCCTGTGTGAAGTTGCGCCAAAACCAGTTGTGACCCCATAACTGTCTGTCCCTTTGTTCATGCTTTCCATTACCCAATCACTGCTGGCCTTCACGCCGGCCCTAGCCGATTCACACAACGCCACATCCACACCACCACCGGCCTCCCCGGCTGCTGCCACTGCAGCCACCTGCCCTATGGTCAGTGTCTCGCCCCCAAGCCGGACCACCGGCTTCCGAAACTCACTAACCATGTGCTTCACCTCCTCCAAATGGCTACCCTTTAGGGACTCCGCCGCCATAACCCAATTCAATGGATCTTTAAGGCAAAAACCTTTGCCATTACCATTCTCATATGATTTTTCCATTTATATGTGTGTATATATATATATATATATATATATTTATGAAACTTCTTGGTACATGAAAAGCTAGGTACAAGGAATTGAATCCAATTAGGAGGACGTACACAAACTAAGATGACAAAAAAATGCAGGCCAGGAGTTGAATTTGTTGTGTGTTTGTGTGGTTATCTATACAGATACAAACTATAGATATAGAATTATATATATATATATATATATATGTATGTGTATAGATAGATATGTGTGCAAATGCAATGAATTTGCTGAGGGTGGTTCACCAGTTCTTGGCTGTTTAAATAGAGGCTACGTCTAAAAGAGTGTTAGGTGAGAAGCTGGGAGTGTTAGTTGAAAACGTTTAGTGGCCGTTGGATTTTCATGTGATTGGACGGATGGGGATGTTGACACGTAGGTCTCTTTTGTGGGTACCATAAGAGATGCATGAGATGTGAGAGAGATCGTTTTTACCCGTCGAAAGAGACGGGGGTTGGTGGAGTGCATGGTCTCAATAATATACATTGATGTGTGTGTAGGTGTGTGTGTATATATATATTACTCTTCTATATCTTTGTAAGGGGAAATGATATTATAAAATATCATTAAGATTTTTAACAAATTTTAATATTACGATGTGGTCGATTTCATAATTGTTGTTGAAACGTATATGTAATTATTCAAAAATAATTGTGTAAAAATTACCAAATAATCAAAGCTTTTTTATTGTCTTTCTTTTATTTCATTTATAATCTTAACTTTTGCACCATGAATGTAATAATTTAAAGGAGAGCACACAATAATTATGATAGGGTGGAGCACATTATAGTATTACCTTTTATCTATTTTGTAGTCACCAATCACCACACCAGTGGTGCCACTACGTCCAGGATTTGGGAATGAAATTACAGTTATACCCTTAAAGATATGGCAGATGACGTTGCTTCGTGTTGTAGTAATTATGTTATTTTAAAAAAATAATTATTGCACCGAATCATTACAATAAATTATTAAATTTAATTTTTTAATTAGTTAATTATATAACAAATAAAAAAATAGAACCTCAACTTAGTCATATTTAGTATAAATAATTAATTAAAAATTATTTGACTAAACAATTTATAACAAGTGTTCGTCATGAATATCATTAATTTTTATTTTATTTTTCCTATTCATTTTTGTCAAACCAAAACAATCAAATTTCCTTAGAGTTGTTTTATATTTTTGGTCTTGGAGCAACAAACCAACTTGTACTTTTTCTTTTTCTGTTTTTCGGAAACTTTTCTTGCCAAATTTGGTATCTTTGAATTTAAATTCTTCTATTAAATTTATTTATTTTTTAATTCTGCTATAATTAATGTAGAGGGAGAGTTGTTTTAATAAATTTGTTTTGCTTAGTATAGTATATACTGACAGTTTTTTAACAACTTTGTTGTTTCTCATCTTGCCTTTCTTTTCTTGGTCTTAAATTGCTGGCCAAATGTAACAACTAAAATTAATTTCAGCCTTATTTAGTTTTCTAACTTCTATATTTTATAGTTTGACTTAGAGCATTGAACAGTGGACATAATCATGTTCATAAATAACGCAAACAAAAGAGAAACTTCAATTAATTGTTGATATATATATATATATATGAACAATGCAAACAAAAGAGAAACTTCAATTAATTGTTGATATATATAAGTTAGCAATTTAATAACAATTTTTTTTTTTTTTTTGGAACTTTAATTTAATAACAAAAATATTGTGCGAAGTAAACCTTTCATTCAATGGTTTGGGGTCCACTAAATGTCCGCACTCCTTTCTTACCAAATGTACTCAAACTCTTAAAGGTTATAAGAGTCGTGATATTCGAGTAATTAGGTTAAAAGAGTTTTATTATTATTATTATTATTATTTAATTCGGGGTATTTGGGGAAGGCACGAATTCTTAGGATTCTTCAACAATCCGATTAATTTCTGAGAATTCGGAAGATCGCCTCTTCACTCGGACCGAGAGAGTCACTGTAGGAATAGCGGAGACTAACCACAAAAAACACCCATCGAAATTCGAACCTCATACCTTGAACTTGCTAAACTTCAAAGTCCAATGAATAAATTGTTGGGCCATATCTAAGGTGGATAAATTTAAAGATTATTGATGGCATATAGTGGGGGCATAAAACAATAATGATCATGGTTGTTTTAATTTTTCAAGGATAAATTTCGTAGTGGAATTGAATGGATATTCTTTCCAACTTTTCATTCCATTTCTCATGTTTAGGGAGCAATAAAGTCCTAATGGTGCTAATGGGTACTTCAGATAATATAAATTCTTCTAACCAAACGGGGAGGTTGTGTGTTTAGGTCTCACTAGAGGTAATGTATATATAGTGAATGTGTGTATATCTGTTTTTTTGAACTTTCGGGTTAAAAAAACGTAAGTAAGAATGTTCATTTCTTTTTTCTTTTTTCATTAAATTAACCACTAAATCGACAAGATCAAACGATTCCGAAAACTGCAAGATTATGAGCTCACCAACCTTATTGCCTATGACACCGGACGTCAATAGGCAATCACACGCTACTGCCACTAATACACAATGTTCACCACCCGATGAGGGTACTCATCACTCACGACATTATATCGCAAAACCCGTTGGATTCTATGCCCAACACAAAATGGACATCGGTCCACTCTACACTGCTACGCAAGGTTCCGAAGACTGAAAGAAGAAAGGTCACCAGACCACCAAATATGACAACATCCAATCTCAGCTCATCCTTTAAAGGATACACAAAACCCCAGATAAAGAATCCAGTCTGCCATACACTAAGTCCCAACCCAAATAAACAAATTTCCAATAACCATACTCATGCTACTTAATACATAGCTACACCATCACATATCAATATTTATGATTACTGACCGCAACCTCTACTTTCATTACCCTTAACATCTCTCAAGATGGCTAAACGATGAATCTCATAACACCACAAAAACATGAGTCACTTAATTACAAAGTGTAATATCAAGTACTCAGGACACAATTCCCCAAATAAAATCTTCAATAATCAATTGATCGAATCATAAACCTTTATCGAACACTTGGTCTTACCTAGCACACCTCGTTACATGAGACAAACTATCTAAATCCACACTGTCACACCGACACAGAGCATGCAATCAATGCAAGTCAACCCTCTACCACATCTAGGTAAGCCACTACCCGTCGTCCGAAAGGTATTCGAACCTTCGCTCTGATACTAAATTTGTAACGACCCGAACCTGGGAATTCGAATCGCTAACCGGGTCCTTACCCGAACCCGAGGTCGTCTAAGGGCAAACAGTCATTTCAATGTCAAGACATGATTTGTTCATCATTTCAAGTCTCATAGTGTCCCATAGCATCACCAAGTAGGTTGAGATTGGCCCCAATAGAAGAAGAAAGCCAAACAAATGAGGACCAGAAACCGGTCGACGTGAAGAGGTACACATCGACTGGTTTAGTATGCCCACGCCAAAAACCTCACTTGAAGATATTGGTCGACGTGAAATCCTTAGACGTCGACCGATTTGCCCTGCTAAGGCCTGTTTGGCCTATGCCTGCTGGTTTGAAGTGCTGACACTCCTTTGGTCCATTTGAGACCTTAAATAAAGTTTAAACATGTCTCGAAAACATGCATAATTAACATATATAGATCCATTAAACAATCATTTTGTATATCTTTAATAATCAAATTATACAAATTGTCTTTACATGATTTCAAGGAATTTAAGTACATAAATGAGGCCGTCATGGCTGTAAATACAACACACAATACAACGTAAATTCTAACGTCGTCTAAGTTCGTGAATGCAAGTCTTACACCAAATCTTCTTCGGCTTTCCTGAAAATATTAAGATAAGGGGTGAGCTCAACAACTCAATATGTGATGCCAAAAACATCGGCTTTGGACTCCCTTGAACCAACAACCAAAGAACGGGGAAAAGAAGTCAGAGGATTATACATGGGGAATTATCAAAATCACAATCCACACCATTCAATTCCAAAGATATCATCAAATAATCACTCATAATCATGTATACCAATGTCCTATGAAATGCATTGCCTTCACAACCATAGTCCCGGCCCAACACAACACACACCAAAAACTACTAACCGAATTTACCGAGACGAGATTGATACTATTCTTGGTTCCAAACCTAGCAATTATTTGGAGCCTAGTATCAACTTTTCATGTCCAAATCTGACACGTGCTCCTTCTAGGTCAAATTAGCCCCTGGCTCGCGAAACCCGATTTCCTTTATAAAACCCTCTCTTATAACCTTTTCTAAACACATTCCTTAAAATCATTTCAAACTTGTTTTCCCACAAACCATGCTCATGCCATGAAGTGAATTCGTACATTATCCAGGAATAATTGAACATGATTCATACTTTCTAAACTCAAATAAGCATGTTTGGTATCAATGGGATCACATCATCACATTGCAGCAAATAATCTCAAAGTAGAACTTGCACATATAGTATGCTTTTAACAATATTAGCATTTCAAATATACCTTCAACATGCATAAACATAGCATTTTCATCAAAAACATATACATCACTTTAGCTTCTAATAAACAACATTTAAAACAAATGCGGGATGAAATCAAGTAGGGAAAACTCAAACAGAGGCAAAACATAATATGTTAAACACACCTACCTCAAAATGTAGCTAAAAGGCATCCCCAACAGAAAAGTCAAAGCCGGTCAATGCCAGCCGAATGGAAAATTGTTTGGTGGAAATGTAGCCGACAAGGAGGAGAGCAGATTATCCCAAAGAAACGTCTCCAGAATCCGGCTCGAAGTGACTCAAAACCCTTTCCGAAGTATTAAATCTAAAACTTTCAAAAAATCATAAAATATTCATTGCTAAACAGAAAATCAAACCCTTGGACTATGTCATAAATAATGATGAGGGGAACATTTTTCGTCAGTAAACCGAGCCCGAAAATCCAACCGATCGGCCGAAAAATGGAAGAAAAGCTTGAGGCTTAAAAGAAAAGAAAAATGAAAAGGAAACAGGAGAGGGAGAGAGAACTATGACTGAGGGGAGGGGAAATGAAAAGAAAAAAAGGGGCCTTGGCCTCTTAAGTCATGGATTACTCAAGTGGGATCCACATAACCCCAAAATATCATTTTTACTTCATTATATATATATATATATATATATATATATATATATATATATATATGCCACAACACAAAATAATCACATAGTCACATGATTATGCACTAAATAGTGA